TCAGTCATCAGTCAGTCAGCTTCCAGGAGTCCAGCCGAGCATTTACTTTGTACGTGCGAGGTTAAATCCGCCTCATCCAGGCAAGCTGCCAAAGGATTACCTCACAAGTTCATAGCGCCGTTTTTTTTTTCTGTGGGATATCTTCACCAGTCCTCGTGTTGGGGGAAAAAAAACCTTTTTGTGGAATATGTCCTCTCTAATGACATAGAAGATAAATCCAGGCAACACGAATCTCCGTCAAGAAACCTCGATATGGTTTCTCCCCAAACACAACAAACTTCTCTGGAATTTCTAATTCCCATTTAGAATTATTACAAATTTTAATGATTTATAAAAATATTCTAAAGCATTCTGAATATTAAATCTTATCTATGAGTTTTGATAAGCCGTTAAAAAAAAAAACTTATCTAAAATGACAAACTCAAACTGACCGAATGAATTTGGCTGAGGTAATGTAAATATTGTGGCTTATAGCAATATATTCAAACAACGGTTCTCGTTCGATCACCAAAGTTAAGCAAAGTTGACATTACTCAGTACCTAGGAGAGTGACCGCTTAGTAATACCAGGTGCTGTAATACACTACAAACATGCATTTGGTTAGTGTTATAGGTTATTGACCCATTCCTTACTATAAAAGGAACGCCTAAGTCCAACAAAAGACATCCACAGGCTGATTAAGAAACGTGAATATAGAACATTTCTAAAGTGGCCGAGTAATGCGATTTTATATTACAATGAAAAACATCATCTCTTCGTATTTCTAATCGGTCATTTTTTTGTAAAAATGTAATGCAATTTATTTTATTATATAAGAAATACACATACATTAAAATATAGCTTTAGATAACAGATTCGCATCCCTATTTGTCGACATAGTCAAAACCTCTTTCAATGGCAGTGTCCCACCTACAAATGGCGGCATGTATCACAGCTCCGTAAAATTTAGTGTTCTTTATTTCTTATACAATAAAATAAATTGAATTTTTGACTCCACATTGTATATTTTTTAAGTATGTAAACAATTTTTGACAGAGAAAAATCTGGAGCTCAGTTGATGACAATAATAATTTTATTTTCTTATTTGTGTTAAATCCTCTTTATGTAAAAAGAACACCGATGGTTGGAATAGATGTAAGTGAGAAGGAAAGAAAACTATTAAATGATAAAGGTTTGGATTATTAATATCCTAAGAAAGGCCAATGGAAAGTTCTAGAGAGACCAATTTCCCAAGTTTTACTGTCACTTATTATTTATCATGGTGCAAAGAATTGCAAGTCGTCACGGAATCTGAAACTTACCTCAGTAACCAAAACGTTCACTAATTTTATTATTTACATGTGACTGTCATGATATCTTCCACAAGATGTGTCTATGTTCATCACAACGCCATTAAAATCCGATTAGGTGCACAGACTTTTATTAGGCACATGGGGAATCGATGATTTCACCGATTTCCATTAACTTTACTTCGTCCACGTCGAAAATTATTTACGTTTGTCTGGGTCCTTCTATCTCGGATCAGTGCGTAGTATGTGCAAGCTCTACTTAAGGTCAACCTGTCATTTCCTGACCTTCCATCGAGAAGGGTTCAGATTAAATTTTCATTTGCTGGTTTTCTATTAAAAAGATCAATGTAGTATCTGTGCGTTCAGCTTAGGATCAACGTGCCATTTCCTGACCTTCTATCGAGGAGGGATCAGTTTAAATTTTCATTTGCTGGCTTTCTATTAAAGTGATCAGTGTAGTATCTGGGCGTTCAGCTTAGGATCAAAGTGCCTTTTCCTGATCTTCTATCGAGAAGGGTTCAGTTTAAATTTTCATTTGCTGGCTTTCTATTAAAGTGATCAGTGTAGTATCTGGGCGTTCAGCTTAGGATCAATGTGCCATTTCCTGATCTTCTATCGAGAAGAGTTCAGTTTAAATTTTCATTTGCTGTTTTTTTTTTATTAAAAGGATCAGTGTATTATTTGTTCGCTTAGCTTAGGATCAAAGTGTCACTCGCTGGTCTTCTATAAAAGATCAGGTATTATTCTCTGCGCTCTGTCTATACACACACATATATATATATATATATATATATATATATATTGGTATGTGGATATGTCATGATATTTGTGCGTACATTTCTATAATATTTTAAAACTACAGATATGTATATTTTTATTTGCATAATGGATATATTTTTCGCATTTGGAGGTATTCAAGTGTGTATGTAAGTATAAGTGTCATTTTGTTTCCATTTTATTTAAAACTTCGTCGTGTCTCACATATTCGTTGCATGGTCTACTCAGCATCCTTCTGTAGAGCCACGATTCTGTTGCTTTAAATATCTTAACTTTTGAGAAGGATGTCCAGCAATCACTGCCATATAGGAGGGCAGATATCACTTAATAGTTCAGTAATCTTTTTTTCGTTTCTGTTGCTTAATACTCTGCTTAGTTTCTGGAAAGAATCTTTCGCTATCCCAATCCGCTTTCAGATTTCGATGTCGCACTTCCGTCCTCTATTAAAACACTTCCCAGATATTTAAATTGCTGTACTTGTTTTGATTTTGGTATCTCCAATCTGTTATTTGCATGTTGGGCTTTCTATCCCTTTTGCATGCATTCAGTCTCCTTACAATTGATGTTTAGTCCTTTCTTCTCTCTTTCCATCACGAACTTTTGTAGGAGTTTTTGTAGTTTTTTTTCTGTGTCTGCTACCAACTGTGTGTCATCAGCATATCTTACGTTTTAAGATTGAGGCCGCCAATAATGAATACTTGTAGGACTTCCAGTTCTCTCAGCTGTTATAGTTTGAATAAGTCCGGTGAGAAGACACACCCTTGACGTACATTCCTTTTGTATTTTTGTTTATCTGCTGAATTCATTTTCTATCCGTATGCAGGCGGATTGCCACCAGTGAGGGTTCCTGATTATTCTAGTATCCTTCCTAGATGTGTCAAAGTTGCTCCAGATCTTTGGTTTGGTTTGGTTTTGGCATATCAACACCTCAATGGGTTATTTAATGCCGACAAGATTTTTAATGTTGGTAATATTTTTTTTTCAAATGTATTGCTGGTAAATGTTTTTTCTTTCAAAAATCTATTTCTAGTAATATTTTTTCTTCAAAAATGTATCGCTAGTAATTTTTTTTCAAAAAAGTATAGCTGGTAATATCTTTTGTCAAAAATGTATTGGTGGTAATAATTTTTTCTTTAAAAACATATTGCTGGTAATAACTTTTTTTACAAAGTATTTCTGGTATTAAATCCTATTTTTACACTTTCATAGTGTTTTGATCCCTGTTTGGGGGTTAACTATTTACCCATAGCTGGGACCCAAACAGGTGCTACCACCCCGGGTCAGGATGGACTAGGGAACACCAGCTTTTAAAAGGTGGTTCCACGCTCCTCAAAACCTCCTGATCAGAGGCCTTGCTGTTGGACGTAGTTTATCGTCATACCCAGGACGCGGATGTAGTTTATCGTCATACCCAGGACAGGCAGATCTTTGGGGGGGTACTTTATCGTACGTCTTTGCATAATCTATAAAACACAGATACACGTCCTTCTGAATTTGTATTAATCTTTCTGAACATAAATATCGTATTCCTGGTTCCAATATCTTTGACGAACACACACTGTTCATGTCCTATTTATAGCTCCTTATAGCGCTCGAGAAAATACGTCGATTTTTCAGCCATGCTCTATATTTACAAGAATCAAATCAGATCAAAAATAGTGTATTGCGGTATTATTTAGGCTGGAGCTTCACAATCTTCTCTTTTCAGTATTGAGCGAGTTCTAAAGGGTTTCCATAATCTTGTAGGAAATTAAACATTTTAAAACCTACAACTCCTTTCCACACAGACGAAACGCCGTAAGAACATCGTACACGGGATAGAATCATCCTCATTCGATTCGTTCCACCTAGAAATCTTCATCCCAGGAGGGGCTACCTATGACGCAATGCTTCCCCGATCACTATAATCTTGATCTCTTCCAAGTCTAATGTTATACTGATCGACTGATTCGTTTTCTACGGCTTATCAACCCTTTGCTGGTTATTTAAAGCCAGAACATATTTTTAGACTGTAAGAATTTGGGTTGGAGAAGATAACAGTTGTAACCAAGTAAATGGGTTAATAAATAAGAGAACAAAAGGTTGCAGATAAATCGTATATTGAACAGAAGAGTATTACACGACTTGGGAATGTGTGTCGGTTGACCAGCGTTCCCCAGAGGCCCACCTTCCTACCATTCTTATAGTAAGCGGAAGAGTCCACAATAGACTCATTAGAGGGAGGACACAACAACATTAACCCATAGCTGAGGGGAGAAGAGGTGGATTCATACCATTCCCAACGGTATTTGCGCGCAACTGAATATAACGAACCCAATGAAAATTGGAAGTCGGTTCTCCTTTTAACAATTCCAAAATGCCAGTATTCATTACACCACCTGCACACCCAAGCTTACAACCCTTGTTAATCAGAGAGCTGGGCTACAATTCTGTGGAATATTGGTTAGCTTACAATTGGTCTGACACACAAGTAGAATGGTGTAGTCCTAAGTAAAAACTGACCTGAGTCATTTAATGGAGAGATATATGGGTGAATAGAGACCACTCATGCAAATGTGTTAGGCAGGTCTATTTTAGCAAAATGGACCAATCCAACTGGTGCATTAGGTACTCTTCTATAAATGAGGTAAAATTAGATGGCTTGCTTTTCCAATAAGACACAAGAAGGCAGCCATGTTAGCAGGTAAGTCACTTGACTTCGACAAATTCCAATTGGTTTCACTAAATTCCCTTAGGCGCAAAAACTCTTGTGAAAGATATGATTCCGTCTCTTCCTGACGCAGCAATTGGTTAATTAGTAAGTATTGGAGCGCTAAATTATAACTACTACCCAATAAACTTCTTACAATCTAAAAATATTTTCTGGTTGGAACTCTGCTCTCCAATTTTCTTATTCCTAGCAATTATTTATTACACCATCCGGACATACAAGTTTACAGTGCCTTTCATTCCCAATTGGTCACCCATCTAGGTACTGACCAGGCTCGACGTTGCTTAACTTCCGCGATCGCACGGAAGCGATGTTTCAGCTGTATGCCATATCTAAAGTCAACATCCTCATAATCCGCACTTCTTCCTTCTCTTACTTAAACTCAAAATCATAATTGAGTGTCTCTCGAGCCTTGTGCGGGATAAACATCGAGAAAAAGAAAAAAAAGAAATAGTTTTACAGAATTTAACCCTGACAGTGACTATCGAAGCTAAGTGTAGCAAAGGAAAAGAATCTGGTAGCCAACTTGTCAAGTTTATGTAAATGGATGGAGGAACAAGTGCCACAAAGACAAAAAACGGAATTTCATTAAAAGAATACGTATTGTCTCCTTGCGTTCGAGTATGGTGATGGATGTCAGTGCAGAAAAGAGAAATCGAGCAGCCGAGTTCGAATTCCGACCTTGTCCGCTGCTTACAACGTTAGCACTTATACCTTTGAGAAAGGTACGCCTCTGCATCTCTACAGAACCATGTTCGCCCACCCCCTGAAGGTTCATGGCATTAAAATGGCTAGATCTATAAAATACTGGAAACTGTAAAGAACCATGATCGAGACAGAAATGTTATATATAAAGCAAAATTTATATCACTATTTACATTATTTGGACTATTGTCCTCATCTTTGTCGCCATATTTATTACAACGTTTCGACCGTTGTATGCGCCGGCCTTCTTCAGCGTACAACGGCGGAAACGTTGTAATAAATATGGCGACAAAGATGAGGACAATAGCCCGAATAATGTAAATAGTGTACATAATACCTCATCTCAGAAATATAGACAGATACTGAAGGGCCGAAACGTTGTAATAAATATGGCGACAAAGATGAGAACAATAGCCCGAATAAAATAAATAGTGTACATAATACGTCATCTCAGAAATATAGACAGATACTGAAGGGCCGAAACGTTGTAATAAATATGGCGACAAAGATGAGGACTATAGCCCGAATAATGTAAATAGTGTACATAATACCTCATCTCAGAAATATAGACAGATAATGAAGGATTTATATCAATTAGGTAAACACTGATAAATCGTGAAACAAGTAGATAACAAAATGGCTCGTCTTATAATTTTTGCAAACCAGTTTCTGCTTTAAGATTAACGTCTGCATAGGCAATCAACAGAACATCTTTCATTTACTGGACTTAATTACAGTCATGAGACCACGTTCTTAATAACAATCAATCTTGTTGTGTTTGATGCAGTCATTTTCGAAAAGAAAGTATTCAATACACCATCGTCTTGATTCCTTATCACGTGCAGCTTGGCCTTGAAACCTTCTCTAACTGTCGACAAAAACATGGTTACCTATGAAGGAATATCTGACCAGCTGGCTGTTTATGAAGAAGAGAAACTAAGATATGTTAGGTTATGTATGTTCACCTTCCCAGTTATATTATGAAAATCTGGTAAACCGCCTTCATTTCGAATTTTCTCAAACAGAAAATTGAAACATTCTAAGATATTCTCACTATTATAATGATGTCACCACCCACTATTTCTTCATTGAAAAACTTGTGCTGGATTAGATGCGGGAGCGGTTGTAAACAGGTGTCAAACATGAAAGGAGTTGGTGAGCTACACCTTGAGGCTAACAGTTCGAGTAAACAGAAATTCCCCGTTATTTGGTGTGGCCAGATATCAACGAGGGCACAGATATTTTAATTTGATAGAATAAAATCAAACCAGGGGAAACAAGGAAAACCAATCAATACAAGAATAAATATATGGCTTTCCCGTAAGGTCAGGAAAAGGTGTCTAGCGAGAAAGTATCAAAAACAGGAGCTAATTAAAAGTGACAAAAGAGAGATAGAGTTAACGTGTTTTGAAAGTTTGGTGAAGACTTATTAATTTTCGAAGAGATATATTTAGTGAGACAGATAGCAATATGGACAGATGGGAGTTTTCTCGAACGGGAGGTATAAATGGAATTACAAACAATATTATAGAGCGTGTGCTAAGTTCTATTAATGATGTTCACTCTGATATTTAAAAGTGGCGCCATGTTGGTTTGGTAGAGTTGAAAAGTATTCCGCACGGAAAAAGAACATCTTGACCTTGCGGCATTTTGTGAAAGGAGAAAATATAATTCTGTATAGCTTTATCTATATACTCCATCTAGTGGTAATTCGTAGTAATTCCTTGGCAGCTGAGGAAGAACACAACGTAATCCAAGCGGGGAACAAACTCGTCGAAAGCAACGTCGGATGTCAAATTGGATAGACGGATTCTTTTGCGAGCCGTCGATTGTTGCGTTACCACAAAATAAGAAGTCATCGTGACCGAGATTTGAGCTTCGGACTGTTGATCCCCATAGAAAACGCGCTATATATCGGAAACTGTAACGAAGGTAGGGTCACAATACTGGCAGAATAAAACACAGGTGCGCACTGAACAAACACAAATGTGCTTGAGTAGTAATGATAAGATAGCCTCCCCAGGATAAAATCATCCTCGGATGAGAGTGATAGACATATATATATATATATATATATATATATAAACATGTACATACATATATATATATAAATATATACATATTATATATATATATATATATGCATACAAACATATGCATACATATATATATATATATATATATATATATATATATGCATACAAATATATACATATATACATATATATATATATATATATATATATATATACATATATACACACACACATATATATATATATATATGCATACAAACATATATATACACATATACACATGCATACAAACATATACACACACATATATATATGCATACACATATATATATATATATGCATACAAACATATACACATACATACATACACATATAAACATATACACACATATATATACAAACATATACACACATATATACAAACATATACATATATACATACACACATACACACACACACATATGCATACACACGAACATATACACACACACACACATATATATGCATACAAACATATACACACACACATATATATGCATATTTACATACATACACACAAACATATACAAACATATACACACACATATATATGCATACAAACATATACATATACACACACACACATATATGCATACAAACATACACACATACACACACATATATATATGCAAACATATACATACACACACACACACATATATATATATATATATGCACAAACATATACATATATACACACACATATATATATATATTTATGCATACAAACATATACATATACACACACATATATATATATATATATTTGCATACATATACACACACACATATATATATATGCATACATATACATATACACACACATGTTGCATACATATACATATACATATACATATAGACATACATACATATACACATATATACATATATATATATGCATACATATATACACACATATATATATATATATGCATACAAACATATACACACACACACACATATATATATATGCATACAAACATATACACACACACACATATATATATATGCATACAAACATATACATACACACACATATATATATGCATACAAACATATACATATACACACACACATATATATATGCATACAAACATATACATATACACACACATATATATATATATATATATACAAACATATACATATACACACACACATATATAAATATGCATACAAACATACACACACACACACATATATATATGCATACAAACATATACAACACATATATAGATATGCATACAAACATATACACACACACACATATATGAATATGCATACAAACATATACACACACACATATACATATGCATACAAACATATACACACACAAATATATATGCATATACATACACACACACATATATATATGCATACAAACATATACACACACACACATATATATGCATACAAACATATACACACACATATATATATATGCATACAAACATATAAACACACACATATATATACATACAAACATATACACACACACACATATATATGCATACATATATATACACACACACATATATATATATACATACAAATATGTGCATACATATACACACACACATATATGCATACAAACATATACATATACACACACACACATATATATGCATACAAACATATACATATACACACACACATATATATATATGCATACAAACATATACATATACACACACACATATATATATATATATACAAACATATACATATAGACACACACATATATATATATATATATATATATACACATATATATACACACACACATCATATATACACACACATATATATATATGCATACATATACATACACACACACATATATATATATGCATACAAACATATACACACACATATATATATATGCATACAAACATATACACACACACATATAGATATGCATACAAACATACACACACACATATATAGATATGCATACAAACATATACACACACACATATATTAGATATGCATACAAACATATACACACACATATATAGATATGCATACAAACATATACACACACACATATATAGATATGCATACAAACATATACACACACACATATATAGATATGCATACAAACATATACACACACACATATATAGATATGCATACAAACATATACACACACACATATATAGATATGCATACAAACATATACACACACACATATATAGATATGCATACAAACATACACACACACATATATAGATATGCATACAAACATATACACACACACACATATATAGATATGCATACAAACATATACACACACACACATATATAGATATGCATACAAACATATACACACACACATATATAGATATGCATACAAACATATACACACACACATATATAGATATGCATACAAACATATACATATACACACACATACATATATGAATATGCATACAAACATACACACACATATATATATATGCATACAAACATATACACACACACATATATAGATATGCATACAAACATATACACACACACATATATAGATATGCAT